AATCCAGACTTTTCTGGATACCTCTGAATTTGACCCATTTTCCCGATATTAACAAGTGATTTACAGCAAATAAGAAACGATATTCGATCTATATCACGTGTTACTGGAATAAGACCCAACAAGTTAATGCATTTTGAAACAGTTCTATGATCTTTCAGCTAAAGTAAATTATGCAAGATAAGGACTTTAAGAGAAAAAAAGCATTCAAGTTGTCCCTTAAGGTTATTTTTTTATTTAAATTGGATATTCTATCCAACATGGATATAGCTTCTTTCTTTCACAGCAGCATTGGATCAGTTCAGTTGTGCAGCATTGGATCAAAACAAAATAAAGCTTATCAGTACTCGTTAGCTTACTGCTACAATTAGACACTGCGCGCTGCCCACTCTGTTGCCAGATTTGAGAGAAATAAGCAACCAGGTCTATGAGAACAAGCCCCAAAGAAGCAACACATACATGATGTTGTGTAATTTGAAACCAAAACTAAGGCCTCAGGATGACTTTAAGACTTGAACATGGTCATTTTTGTTTTGTAACATTGAATACAACATTTAAAAAAATAAAAAATAAAATCCCGATCCCCGATTTTTTTCTCCCGATTCCGATCTTTTGAAAATCACGTGATCGGCTCCGATCCCCGATCACGTGATCGGATCGGGACATCTCTAGTTATAACCGTCAATCTCTTGGTGATTTTTAGAAAACCACTTGTTTGATTTCTTTGTTTAGAAAACATACATCTGGCATATAATTGTTAGAGAATAGACCGTTTAAAGTCTGTACGAGACTGTCAGCTACAATACCTCAATTTTTAAGTAAACCAAAACCTATATTCTGCTTTACCGTCCTTCCCTAAAACCCTAAAAACCTGTCTCTGCTTTCCCTCAGTGTCTCTCCGTCCCTTTCTCTCAGAGATGTAGTGTTTAAAAGGTTTTATATGTCCCTCTCTTCTCCTCTCGTCTGTGTCTCTTTCCTTAATGTTCTGAAGATCCCCTCACTGTTCTCAAAAGCCCTAAAGCGATGCACTGATTTTAAACATCACATTCATGCTATCTTTCACTCTGATTCGTTACAGTGCGATGAGTGTAGCGTCAGTCAGTCAGTCAGTGTGCAAACAGCGAGGGGCTTTTACAAAATGCATTATGTTCTTGACATTCATCCGTCGTGCAGCTTTCTGATATTGATGAATTATGATAAGATCAAATATGGATGTCATTGTCAGCGCATCTCTTCGTATCCGGATTGTTGTTCATGTCTTTGTTTTGATGCAGTTCACAAAACAACAGCTGGTTCATTTCATCTGTTCCACTTTGTATACAGAGATTCTTCTTTTTGCTGTTTCCTGTCACTTTGTTTCTCTGGAAATGTATTTTATTTCTTATTTTTTAGTAATAAATGTTCTGATACCTTTCAATTTTGAGGTAATAGTGGTTTTACTTGAGTATTTAGATTTGTATGATACTTTAAACGCATACTTTTTATATCTCAGAAGCAAATATGGTACGTTTATTACATGATGCAGTAATATATGTTCTAATAGTATTCGTCAAAACCATTAAATATAATAGTTTGTTTCTGTGGTTCTATTTGCTTCACCTTTTCTGTTGGACTCTCTGCTTTACTTCCCTCCTTCATGCTGTGCAATTCATATTTAACAATATTAACCTTTCTATCGCTTTCACTTTTCACTAATGTCTGCTTTTCACCTCTCTCTCTCTCCCAAACCTCCCCTTTTCGTTCACCGTCTCTCCGTTTCCTTTTGACTTCATGTTAGTTTCCTCGTCTGATTTTTGTCTCCCTCCTCCTTCCCGTCCTCCGCCAGGACCGAACCGCTCTAAGCTTCAGGACATGTTGGCGAACCTTCGGGACGCGGAGGACCATCCCTCCATGCAGCCTCCCGTCACCCCCCCCTCCCGCCCCACTGTTCCCAGACTCAACGAACAGGAAGTGGGACGCTCTGAAGATGGTAGCCTACCCTACTAAACCTGGTTTCTGTTGTGTATGCATCTTAGCTATAACTAATGCTGTTGATATAATAAGATATTAAGGGTGTCCATTATCATCTGGCCGGGGACAACAGCAGGGGGTTACCTTGAAAGCTGATTGGCTAATGGTTACACAAGCCAAAAAAATCGTTATGACATCATAAAGTGACCAAAATCTGATGACGTCTGATTGATGTAGAAGAGACATGAAGAAGAGGGGACACATGTTGATGTAGAAGAGACATGAAGAAGAGGGGACACATGTTGATGTAGAGGGGACACATGTTGATGTAGAAGAGACATGAAGAAGAGGGGACACATGTTGATGTAGAAGAGACATGAAGAAGAGGGGACACATGTTGATGTAGAAGAGACATGAAGAAGAGGGGACACATGTTGATGTAGAAGAGACATGAAGAAGAGGGGACACATGTTGATGTAGAGGGGACACATGTTGATGTAGAAGAGACATGAAGAAGAGGGGACACATGTTGATGTAGAAGAGACATGAAGAAGAGGGGACACATGTTGATGTAGAAGAGACATGAAGAAGAGGGGACACATGTTGATGTAGAGGGGACACATGTTGATGTAGAAGAGACATGAAGAAGAGGGGACACATGTTGATGTAGAAGAGACATGAAGAAGAGGGGACACATTTTGATGTAGAGGAGACATGAAGAAGAGGGGACACATGTTGATGTAGAAGAGACATGAAAAAGTGGATTTTGCATAATAGGTGACCTTTGAACCCAGGTGTCTGTTTTGTCGCCGTAGAAGCGATGACTTTCCTGCCGTCTCCTGGGAAGTCCTTCATAATGGGCCGAGTGGACGAGGCGGTCTCCAACGAGCTGGGACTGGGAAAACTGGCCGGACTGACGGTGGCCAACGAGGCCGACAGCCTGGCGTACGACGTGAGTACAGAGTAAAACAGTTTGCAGTGGATAAGAGACAGAAAAGTGAGGCCACATTTGTGAGGAAGGAGCTGCTTGGCTTTGGCAGAGGAGATTTGTCCCATTTTTCATGGACGCACCCCACATACTCAGCTCTGCTGCTCATCCCGCAAA